GGGAATAAGGGTTTTTCCAATTAATAAAAATTTTCCCCTAAAACAAGAAAAACAGGTTTAGTTCGGGGGAAAGAAATTGGGAAAAGGGGCTTTCAAAAGAGCTGTCTAAGGGTTTAAAAAAAATCTGGACAAATATGTATCTTTACTATGTTTTTTGGTTTAATAATCGCATGGGAGAAATGAAGAGAAGTTAGCTCCATTGAGCGAGAACACCTTAATGCGCTAAAAATCGAGACTTATTTACTTCACGTTGATGAGAATCGCAGAGGAGAAGTTTGGGGAGAGAGAGGCCAGCAGAGAGCCAGATGAGAGAGGTAGCAGAGATGTGGCTAGAGAAAGATGGAGAGAGACCTGAGTGAGAGAAGAGCCAACTCGATGAGCTTGAGAGAGAGAGAGAGAGAGAGAGAGAGGGAGAGAGAGGGAGAGAGAGACGAGAGAGAGAGAGAGAGGAGAGAGAGAGAGAGAGAGGAGAGATGACCGGAGAGAGGAGGAGAGAGAGAGAGAGGAGGAGAGAGAGAGAGGAGAGAGAGAGAGAGAGAGCGAGAGAGAGAGAGAGAGAGACCTATGGAGAATAGTGACATCTCCAAAAAGCTTCTGAGGCTGTCACTATACCCAGTACTCCTCATTCCAACACAACTTTAGTGGCCTTGACCCAAATTTAAAGACACATACAGGTAACTGCTAAAATAATGGAAACACCAGCATAAAGTGTCATAATAGGGCGCTGGGCCACCACAAGCCAGAACAGCTTTATATCACCATGGCATAGATTCTACAAGTGTCTAGAACTCTACTGGAGGGATGTGACAGCATTCTTCCTCAGAAATTTCCATCATTTGGTGTTTTGTTGATGGTGGTGGAAAATGCTGTCTCATGCACCACTCCAGAATCTACCATAAGTGTTCAATTGGGTTGAGATCTGGTGACAGACAGCCATGGCAGATGGTTTACATCGTTTTCATGCCCATCAAACCATTCAGTGACCACTCGTGCCCTGTGGATGGGGGCGTTGTCATCCTATGGGGGCATAGCCATGGTAGCCAAAATAATGGCCTGCCCAGCAATTTTATAAATGATCCTAAGCATGATGGGATGTTAATTGCTTAACAATAGAACCGCTGGGCCTCGATGGACCCCCCTTCAAGCTAATGAGCAGTCATTCTGACTTAACTCAGGAACCACATCTGTGTAGAAGCACCTGCTTTCAAAATACTTTGTATCCCTCATTGTGTTTCCATGGTTTTGGCAGTTACTTGTACATGTATACACATGCACACACACTAGCACACATGCACACGCAATTTAAAAAATACTAAATTCAAGATTTACTGAATACTTAGTCCCGTGTAGCTCAGTTGGTAGAGCATGGTGCTTGCAACGCCAGGGTTGTGGGTTCGATTCCCACGGGGGGCCAGTATGAAAAAATTAAAATGCACTCACTAACTGTAAGTCGCTCTGGATAAGAGCGTCTGCTAAATGACTAAAATGTAAATGTACTTTCAAGTTCTTAGATGTGACATTTGAGTTTATCAAAAATCTTGCGCTGTGTGAGAAAGACAATTATAAACTGGGTGGTTCGAGCCCTGAATGCTGATTGGCTGAAAGCCGTGGTATACCACGGGTATGATAACACATTTATTTTTGCTACTCTAATTACATTTGTAATCAGTTTATAACAGCAATAAGGCACCTCGGGGGTTTGTGGCATATGACCAATATACCACAGCTAAGGGCTTTATCCAGGCACTCCATGTTGTTCAGTGCTTAAGAACAGCCCTTAGCCGTGGTATATTGGCCATACACCACACCCCTTCATGCCTTATTGCTTAAACATAGCTTTCAATTGAAACAATGGTATCAAAAAGATAAGAAGAATGGCCTGCGGACCCACCTGGTCAAACTTGTTGCTGCCGATGTGGTCAAACTGGTGGAGGGGGTTGAACCGGGGTGAGGGGTGACCAGGACGGTCTGTTCCCAGGTCAAAGGTCACTGTCTGAGGAGAGTAATCTGGGGGGTCACTGGACACACACAGCTTGGACCTCAACAGTGGCTGGTGAAACACACAGGACAGAAGGATGGAGGGAGGGAGAGGGAAAGAGCGTGTGAGAGAGAGAGAGAGAGAGAGAGAGAGAGAGAGAGAGAGAGAGAGAGAGAGAGAGAGAGGTCAAAGAGTTTACATTTCACACTTTTTCCTCAAGAATACAGGGACAAATACAGGAAATGAGAATGGCGCCGAAGGAGATGGCTGCCGTTTTACGAGCTCCTAACCAATTGTGCTATTGTGTGTGTTTTGTAACTTATTTTGTACATAATGTATCTACCACCGTCTCTTATGACCAAAAACAGCTTCTGGATATCAGGACAGCAACTACTCACATCGTACTGTACGAATAATTATTCTTTAACGATTGGGACACAAAGGATTTTCTTCAGACACCCGACAAGGCCCAAATCCCCGTAATTCGCATGAGAAAGAGACGGAGATATCGGGGACGTAGGTCGGGGTGCCTTGTAAGGATCCGACGGCGAGTGCATAATCTGCCTCTACCATCAGTCCTATTAGCTAACGTACAATCATTGGATAACAAAATAGACTAACTAGATCACGGTTATCCTACCAACGGGACATTAAAAATGGTAATATCTTACATTTCACCGAGCCATGGCTGAACGGCGACATGGATAACATACAGCTGGTGGGATATACGCTACATCGGCAGGATAGAACAGCTGCCTCCGGTAAGACAAGGGGTGGCGGTCTGTGTATATTTGTAAACAACAGCTGATGCACAAAATCTAATATTAAGGAATTCTCTAGGTTTTGCTCGCCTGAGGAAGAGTATCTAATGATTAGCTGTAGACCACACTATTTACCAATAGAGTTTTCATCTATATTTTTCGTAGCTGTCTATTTACCACCACAAACCAATGCTGGCACTAAGACCACACTCAATGAGCTGTATAAGGACATAAGCAAACAGGAAAATGCTCATCCAGAGGCGGCGCTCCTAGTGGCCGGGGACTTTAATGCAGGGAAACTTACATCTGTTTTACCTCATTTCTACCAGCATGTTAAATGTGCAACCAGAGGAAAAAGACCACCTTTACTCCACACACAGAGACGCGTACAAAGGTCTCCCTCACTCTCCATTTGGCAAATCTGACCATAACTCTATCCCCCTGATTCCTGCTTAAAAGCAGGAAGCACCAGTGACTCTGTCCATAAAGAAGTGGTCAGATGACGCAGATGCTAAGCTACAGGACTGTTTTGCTAGCACAGACTGGAATATGTTCCGGGATTCTTCCGATGGCATTTAGGAGTACACCACATCAGTCACTGGCTTCATCAATAAGTGCATCGATGACGTCGTCCCCACAGTGACTGTACGTACATACCCCAACCAGAAGCCATTGATTACAGGCAACATCCGCACTGAGCTAAAGGGTAGAGCTACCACTTTCAAGGAGCGGGACTCTAACCAGGAAATGTATAAGAAATCCCGCTATGCCCTCCGACGAACCATCAAACAGGCAAAGCGTCAATACAGGACTAAGATTGAATCGTACTACACCGGCTCCGACGCTCCTTGGATGTGGCAGGGCTTGCAAATTACAGACTACAAAGGGAAGCACAGCCGCAAGCTTCTCAGTGATACGAGCCTACCAGACGAGCTAAATTACTTCTAAGCTCGCATCGAGGCAAGCAACATAGTCCCTGTGCCCAAGAACACTAAGGTAATCTGCCTAAATGACTACCGACCTGTAGCACTCACGTCTGTAGCCATGAAGTGCTTTGAAAGGCTGGTCATGGCTCACATCAACACCATTACCCCAGAAACCCTAGACCCACTCCAAGTTGCATACAGCCCCAACAGATCCACAGATGATGCAATCTCTATTGCACTCCCACTGCCCTTTCCCACCCGGACAAAAGGAACACATACGTGAGAATGCTATTCATTGACAACAGCTCAGCGTTCAACACCATAGTGCCCTCAAAGCTCATCACTAAGATAAGGACCCTAGGACTAAACACCTCCTTCTGCAACTGGATCGTGGACTTCCTGATGGACCGCCCCCATGTGGTAAGGGTAGGTAACAACACATCTGCCTCGCTGATCCTCAACACGGGAGCCCCTCAGGGGTGCGTGCTCAGTCCCCTTCTGTACTCCCTGTTCACCCATGACTGCATGGCCAGGCACGACTCCAACACCATCATTAAGTTTGACGACGACACAACAGTGGCAGGCCTGATCATCAACAACGATGAGACAACCTATAGGGAGGAGGTCAGAGACCTGGCTGTGTGGTGCCAGGATAGCAACCTCTCCCTCAACGTGATCAAGACAAAGGAGATGATTGTGGACTACAGGAAAAAGAAGAGGACAGAGCACGCCCCCCATTCTCATCGACGGGCTGTAGTGGAGCAGGTTGAGAGCTTCAAGTTCCTTGGTGTCCACATCACCAACAAACTATCATGGTCCATACACACCAAGACAGTTATGAAGAGGGCACAACAAAGCCTATTCCTCCTCAGGAGACTGAAAAGATTTGGCATGGGTCCTCAGATCCTCAAAAAGTTCTACAGCTGCACCATCGAGAGCATCATGACTGGTTGCATCAATGCCTGGTATGGCAACTGCTCAGCCTCCGACCGCAACGCACTACAGAGGGTAGTGCGTACAGCCTAGTACATCACTGGGGCCAAGCTTCCTGCAATCCAGAACCTCGATACCAGGTGGTGTCAGATGAAGGCCCTAAAAATTGTCAAAGACTCCAGCCACCCTAGTCATAGACTGTTCTCTCCGCTACCACATGGCAAGCAGTACCGGAGCGCCAAGTCTAGGTCCAAAATGCTTCTTAACAGTTTCTACCCCCAAGCCATAAGACTCCTGAACAACTAATCAAATGGCTACCCAGACTATTTGTATTGTTCCCCCCCCCCACCCCCTTTTACGCTGCTGCTACTCTCTGTTTATTATCTATGCATAGTCACTTTAACTCTACCTACATGTACATGTTACCTCAATTACCTCGACTAACCTGTGCCCCCGCACATTGACTCTGTACCGGTACCCCCTGTATATAGCCTCACTACTGTTATTTTACTGCTGCTCTTAATTTCTTTTTTACTTATACATTTTTTACTTAACACTTATTTTTCTTAAAACTGCATTGTTGGTTAAGGGCTTGTAACATTTACATTACATTTTAGTCATTTAGCAGACGCTCTTATCCAGAGCGACTTACAAGTAAGCATTTCACTATAAGGTCTACACCTGTTGTATTCGGCGCATGTGACAAATACAATTTGATTTGATACAGCTGTCTTCAAATAGATAATTGTATCTGGAAGGACATTTAGCACAATTAGTAGTATATCTTTGCCATTTTAATTAGTACATCTCTGATTTAAAAAAGTACAGTCCCAGACATAATGGACACTAGGATGCTCTCCTTCCACCTATTCCCTGTTTGATTGGCCCAACAGAAGTAGAAACTAATCAGTTTCAGATATAGTTCCAGACATCCAGTAATGGACAGGGAATGGAGAGAGAGAGAGAGAGAGAGAGAGAGAGAGCGAGAGAGAAAGAGAGAGAGAGAGAGATAGCGAGAGAATGCGAGCGACAGAGAATATCGAGAGAGAGAGAGAGAGAGAGCGAGCGAGATAGAAGAGCGAGAGATAGAGAGAGAGAGGAGATAGCTCTCCTATCTCCCTCTTCCTCTCTGCTACTATCTCTCTCTCTCTCTCTCTCTCTCTCTCTCTCTCTCTCTCTCTCTCTATTCCCTGATCGATTGGCCCAACAAAAGTAGAAATTAATCAGACCTCATCAAAAATAGAAACAGAGATACAGGACAATGGCAGAGGACGAGGATATGTATAGATATCCAGACACGGAGATAACTATTTCATGGTAGGAGCTAACTTTCTACCCTCATTTCTACAGTGTAACCTTTGTTATGGTTTTGCAGAAGTGCAAGAGGAGGAAGAGGCTTGGTGGTGTGGGAGTGGGGTATGAACAGAGGCACCCCAGTGTGGATCCACTGCACACACATCAGTCAGCCTGTCAACCCCCCCAACCCAGGCCAGCACACTCCAGCCCAGCCGTCCAGCCTGACCTGGCCGTCCTTGCCTTGACCTTGTCTGGGTAGAAGAGGCTGCTAGTAGGGGGTACTTTGGAGCATGTTTGGGCCTCACCATCTCCTGGCTACAAACAACATCCCTCTACCACTCACTGAGGCTGACAGTAGTGGAAGAAGGACGAGTTGGAGAGATTTGTTACAGTATTGACAAATAACATTATATTTGCATGCAGCCTCCTCCCACCCCCTCTCTCCTTTCCTTCCTCCCTCTCTCCCTCTCTCCAGCCCCATTGCTCACAGTTCCCGGGGAGGTCAGTGGATGCTACAGTGTCATGTTCTCAGGTCTTCCTTGTCTCAGCCAGGCTGCCAGGCAGCAGCCGGCTCCAGCGGTAACCCCCCACACTTCCACCCTCTTTCCCATACCCCTTCCCCCCAGAGCAGACGCCGGCCCCAGGCCAGCGGCCACCTAATTGCGGGGGAGAGGGAGTCCTTCCCTACCTCATTGACTTGGATGATATGATAGATTTGCCTCAGGTACTCGGCACCACCTGGTTTGTGGCAAATCTCCAGGAGTATCAGCCCTATTTTCTGCTCAGTTGCCTCAGCCACACCGCCGCCCCTCTCCTGTGGAACACCACTCTCGCCCCACTCAAACGCACTGAGAGAGGGAGAGAGAGAGAGAGATAAAGAGAGAGAGAGAGGGGGGGGGGGTGAAAGAGTGAGAGGTGAGATAGAAAGAGAGAAAGAAGGCGGCAAGGGAAACAAAAAGCCACAGTTACCATGAGCATCTGCTACCTGAACATTCCATTTCCTCGAGGGATTTAGCCAAAGAGCTACAAATCCATAGCCACACTTTATTCTGTTGTGACTGCCCTTTAATGTATCAAGTTATAGGCCTATTATATAAATGCTTTACACTTTAAAAACTTGTAGGAGGGTTCAAGGTTTGGGCTTTTATTTTCTACTGGATTGAAAATTACAGCACTATTGTTCCCACTTTCATTGAATGTTTCAATTGCAGGCCTTTTCAAAACCATTTGTGTGGATCTCTTTCTGCAGCATTGAGGTGTATATTGAAAGTGAACGTAAACCACAGATACAGTGTGTTCTATTCTATCACGTTCTTCATACGGAGGTGTTTCGAAACAAAGCCCTGCATTGATAAAGCAGTGATACAGTATCAATGATTTCACCGTGCGTGTGAGGAGGTGTTTGCGTGCATGTGTGCATAATATCTACACACACACACAAGCGCCTTACCCTAGCAGCGGCCCGAGTCACTTCCCTGCCCTTCCTATATTCCTCGCCATTTCCACAATGCTCGCCGTCCGTCAAACGCTCTCCTCCGTCCGGATGGACTTCCTGTCATTGTTTTTTCCTTCTCTTTCACATTCTCTCCCTCTCTTCTTTTTGTAATTATAAGGTGGCAGAAACAGTGTCGCCTGTCAGGCAGCTTTTGGCGGATGTGACATTGAGAGAGGTGGGCGAGGCCCTTCCTTCTCCCGGTAGCGGGGCCGTGCATCCGTGTCAGCACCTGCGCTGTATCCTTTCCTGTCCATCACTGTGCAGGTGAAGCAGATGATTGGATTCAGTCAGCGGGGTGATTAATGAGGGCCTCTCTGGATTTAGGACAGCCTATCAATCATGTCATTAGGGCCAATGTGCCCTGAAAGAGGCAGACCTCCGCCAAGCAATAACTGCATTCATCTTCATCTGTGTATTCATCCCGTCAGTCCAGTCAGGGTCACCATGATGGAGAACAATAATCTTCTCCTCTACAAATTACTTTACAAAGACAAGGTGGGGGGCGGTGGTAGTGTGTGTGTGTGTGTGAGGATAGGGTGGGGCGGTGGGGGGTTGTTTTTGGACTGGCGAGCCCCCCTTCCCTCCCGCTGATGCCACTGTACACTGATTGTTTACAACCCAGGCTTCACTTCCCAGTGAAGGTTATTTTAATGAATAGTAATGATCTCGGAGAATGGCTCTGACAGGTGATACATAATCACTCTTTTGCTTTTTCCCCTCCCATTTTCCCCCTCTTCTCCGTTTTTTTCCGACTTCCACCACCCCTTGTTCCTGTCACTAGGAGCAGGCCGTTTCCTGGAACACTTGAGGTAATCTGTTCTCCGTCTTTCTCTCTCTTATTTCTTTCTGCAAGCTGCTGTGTTTGTGTGGTTTCGTTACCCGGCCGGCTAAATAATTTTTAACGAGGATGAATGTGTCCAGACTTTTCTGCTCGTTGGTCTTGAGCGGTCAGAGGCGCAGGTTCCGGGAATAAGTCACCAAGCTCGGGGTCAAAGTATGAGCCAAATTCAAACCCAATTTCCCATTGCCTTATTTTGTTTTCCATTCAGACCGTAGGATGTCCATCATTTAAGATAAATATCATGTCTCAGAATACATTGATCTTGTTCATACAGGTTCCCATGAAAAATGGCTGCAACTGATGATGCAATCCATCAGGGTGGCACACACACTGAATTAAAGAACATATCTGAATAGCATACTACTCATTAAATTGTTCTATCACAAATACATGAATGCCATTTGGCTGAATATACCATGCATCATACTGAAACACTTACTTTGCTTTTATATAATCAGCCTCAACCAATCTCTTCCCAAAAATGGTAGACTGATCATTCAACAGAATGATGTATTGGAAGATATATCGCAGTTTCAATATAAAAGCTAACTTGACTAATGATCATCTCTTCTGTTTTAATATCTCTAAGTCCTGAATGGATATTGTTATATTTGACAAATCCTAAAGACTATTTAGATGCCGTAAAGAGAGAAATTGAAGCGACAGCAGCTCAGTGTTTGTCCATACAGTAGGTGTCCAGAGTTGACATCTCACCTCTTGGAGCAGACCTTGCTGACCTTCTGCAGGATAGGTTAGGTTTGGTTAGGATTACAGTTAGGTTAGGGTTAAGTTAGGTTGACCTCTCACCTCTCGGAGCAGAGCTTGCGGGCCTTCTGCAGCTGCATGGAGCACCACTTGGGCCTCCTCTCCTCCAGAGCCTGCAGTACCTTGTGCACAGTGGGCTTGGGCACTCCCTTCTGCTGGCCTTGGCCCATGGTACCCTGGAGGCACTCTGACAGCAGGGCCAGTCTCTCCTTGGCCCCCCGGTCTAGAGGCAGGCCACACAGCAGCTCCAGTGAGTTGGGGTCCTCCAGGCACTGGCAGAGACAGCTAAGGAGGGTCCAGAGGAGCAGGCCTGTGGAGCGCAGCTGCCGAGCATGCTGGGAAAGGTGTTTCTCTGCGGTGTGGAAGAGGAAGCGTACTGGCAGGGGGAGCGAAGCCACGGCCGAAGGCAGGTTGGTGTAGATGAAAGAGAGGGCCTGGAGGGCCAGATTCACCACACCTGAACAGACAGGAGAGAAAGACCAGGGCTCAGGGATCAAAGTGTTTCAGACAATACTGAGCATGAAATAACTATGTTGATTTAGCTAATGGATAATCAATCGGGTTGTATTACAAGAAGAGATGCAATCCACATATTTATTTCTTCTCATCTCTGACAGTACGTACTCTTAGCTGACTCCCTCCCCTTGGGTGTCTGAGGGGTGTAGCTCCACTCCTTGGGGACTTTAGTGAGGACGCTGTCTGGGACGTCCCGTCTGAGCAGGGGGGCACAGGGCTCCTCAGAGGCCTGCCAGTCCAGCACCATGGTGACCAGGTGGCCCAGAAGGCAGTGGACAGTTTGGTTGATCACTGCCCGGATAAAGCTGACCACAACGGGGACAGGCCGCACTGAATCTAAGACAGACCAGGACAGTGGCAGCAATCACTTTCATGACAGAGGAAGAGTAGGTACTCTAAGTGTTACATAATGCTCTTCTTCTAAATTGGCTAACGCTTATCAATTGTTGCATTTAAATCAGCAACTTATCGAAACCTGGGAAACCAGGTGAGAAAACTCTGTCAATCACCAATCCTAAATTACAATTTCAGTGCCAAGGAGAGAAAGATTATTTAAGGGTGAAAAACTGAAAACAGATTTAAAAAGCTGAGGGTTGTAAACTTTAATCTTTTGGTGCTGAGAAGTGTTTGAAACCACTACCAGGAGAAGAGAGGTATTCTGTATCAAAACCAGGTGGGCATTAGGTGGATACCAGCTTTGCCCAAGTCAGGTATTTCAACGTTTTGACCTTCAATATCCTGTACATATCAGCACCAGAGCAGCAACAGTGTGCAGCTGTATGGCATTCATAACATTTCTACAGCGTTAGCAGAAAAAACAAAGAGCTACATCAGAGAGATTTAGTAGAGTGGCAGGACTGGAAGTGCATTGAAGTCCCAGGGGACACCTACCATCTATAACTCTCCATCCCTTCTAAACAGAAAGTAGAAAATAAAAATGTGATATAGGTTTCCTACATGGTAAATCAAAACCTCTGTCTCCAAAACCTCAACCCATTTGTCAAAAGTAACCCCATATTCAAACACAGTTCACACTTCTATACTCACTGACTACTTCAACATATAAGACTTCAAACCAACTCTAGCTGATTGTTACGTCATTAGACATTACAAACTTTAAACAATACACAGAACAGTAGAGAAGTTCCCAGAGAGATCAATAGTTTGGTTCGGGGAACTCCTGTGCCCCAAAATTCAATTACACCCCATCTCAGTTGGGAGGTGCATCCCAGAGCAGCAATTAAGCCAACGATAGCAGGAGACACACAGAAAGAGAGCGCGAGAGCACTGGGTGACATTGAGACTACAGGAGTGAATCCACCACTGTCTTCTCTCCTTCTCCCCTTCCAAATTCCTATCCAATCACCCTAATTTATGCAACAATAATTACCTCTCGCATGTGATGGAGAAAAAACTACACCAAAATGAGCTGGGACTCACAGCAGCCCTGATTAAGCCCACAATCAAAGCTTTCGCCTGAGAAAAGGAAGTGTCAGGGAATAATTGCAGTCTGTGCTATTGAGCACTGAACCAATGTAGTACGATTAGCTCGACAGAATGAGTTGATGTTGGAGCGGGACTTTTGATATGTTTTGTAATGGAAATGACAACACGTAAACAGTCACCAGAGAGTTAAGGGAGGGTTTGCGTTATAGTTTTGGATTACTTGTAATGAGCCTCGAATTCATTCCGATAAAAGCCCACTTCTGACATGTTGTATTCGTTAGAATAGTGATGGCAGTGTTTACCAACGGGCATGCACACACACTAGGATGCACACATGCACACACACACACACAACTACTACTACTTAGCGTTAACCTATACGTTGATTTCAACCTGACGTGGATCAAATACACAGGTAAAATTGTTTCATCTACTGTATTTTAGGTGTGTTTTATTTAGCTTGGAGTTTGCACATTTGGGACTATTCCATTGGTTCTATTTTACCAGTCAAACTAAATCAAGTACAGCTCAAGTTGGCTATTTCCCAAAACAAAAACATGTGTTGCATTTGGATCCAGGTCTGATCTGAACATTAGTGACCATAACAATAAAGTTAGGACATAGTATTCTTCAGTGTTTTTCTTTGGAAACTCAGTCTGTATCCTGCATTGTGTGTTCTCGAGTGCCTACAGTACAGTGCACTCCAGTGTAAAATACAGTTTATGTATAGCAACAATTAGGTTTGAATACCTGCCAGGCTGTATAGATAGTCCCATAAGTGTCCTCTGTCAAAGTATGTCTCCAGGGCCAGAGTCAAGGCTTTGGGGACATTGTTCAGGGAGCTGAGCACGTTGTACACTGCCTCCATAAACTCATCTCCAGCATCGCTCTTCACAGGAGACACAGCATCAGCATCTGCCTCCTCCTCCATGCAGAAATCTGAAAAGATAGTCCTCTTTTAGGAAAAGTTTAAGTGACAGAAACACATAAAATGCCAAGGACTATAGTGAAACCCATGCATTCAAACATGTTTGGGAGTGTGACTCAGTTTTGAATGGAGTCTCTTCAGCTGCAGTAGATGGCCGTGCACTGCTAACCTTCCATTGCAACCTTAGCCATGATACAGAACATTCCCCAGCTGCACCTTCGGGGTGGGGGCTGAGGGGAGGTGGAAAGAAAGCTATATCAAATGCGTCAAGTGAGAAAATATCTCAAGGCTGTCAAGGCTGTCCAAACTGAGACACGGCAACAAAAGGTAACACAATAACTATTGGCATAGAAAATACACAGCCACACATCTTTGGTGAAATTATACAAAAACAACTGAATCCCAAAGCCTCTTGTGGATGAATATCTTAGTAGATGGGAGGCAGGAAATAAGTAGGAACATGTTCTGACAGGATGTCCTTGTTGGGGTCGCTGCAGGCATGGGGTGGTGGGGGTTGGGGGTGGGAGGTGGGGGTAGGGGCTGAGGGGGAGGGGGATCATCTGTGTTCCTCCGGTGGCACAGGTCTAGAGGACGTCTGTCAGTCTGTTTTGTGGGAGATGACAGGTATTTGAATAGGAGGCCGAATGCAACGCAGCACTCGATGAGCAGGTCTTTTGATGGAAGGCAGGGAGCTGTTTGCGCTCCCCCTTGACAAATGTTGGACTGTTTTAAAATGACAGGCCTAAATTACCTGCCGCATTAAGGGACGCAGGGGCCCTAATATCACCCGGCTTAATAAGAAGCCAGGAAGCCCATCGCCGCTCAACCACTGATGGGAATTGATTTCCTTTCTGGGTTTTTTCTCCCGACGCGGCACAAAAAAAGTGGTCAAACATCCTTTGACCTACAATCACTCTATTACACTGCATTATGTGGATTATGCTGCCGCCTTGTAGTCTGTCGGCCTGGTAATTGGTCCTTAAGGAGAGGGCGCGTGGTGATAGCGCCATGCCCACTGTCGAGGGGAAAGGGGGACTTATATCAATTTCCACTTGGGGTGCTGAAGAACATGGCAGGTTAACTAGACACCTTTTAATAATTATCCCATTATGGAACCTGAGATTAGTTATGATAGACAGACTACTGCTCCATCTCTGAAGAGTCTCTCTCTCTCTCTCTCCCTCCCTAAGCCTCTGCAACCTTGATGCATACCGTTTTCTCTCTCTCGCCGAGAGCGAGAGAGAGAGAGAGGAGAGGAAGGAGAGAGGAGAGAGAGAGAGAGAGAGAGAGAGAGCTAGAGAGCGAGAGATAGAGCGATCTCTCTATAGATTCTCTCGTCTCTATCTCGCTCTCTCGTCTCTATCTACTCGACTCTCTCTTCTCTCTTCAGCTCTCTCTATATCTAATTCGCTTCTACTCTCTTCTCTCTCTCTCTCTCTCTCTCTCACACTCTCTCACTCTGTAATTGGAAGCAAACACAATGTGTGATGACAATAAAACAGTCCTGTGTATAAGGCTGCTCATTTACAGAGAGGACCTAGTGTAGCAGAAACCCCTGCCTGGCCTGCTGGCGCAGCTGCATGAGAGGACAGACCCACCTATCAGAGAGCAGTTAAGACAGCATTGGCTACTGAGAGTTGGGACGAGAAGGATGGTTTGTCTGGTTCCTCTTAATTAGCTCTGAGGTAGAGTTCGGCGTGGTGGTGATGTTGATTTACGACGGTGCAGTGCAGGCCCGGGCGACGGTTGGGGAGGGGAGAAACGCTAGCTAGCTGCCGTCGTCTTAGAAGGCCGGCATTGTTATTAATGAGGTCACTTTAATGTGAATTAATGTGCAAGTGCACAACAGTCTTTAAAGGTTACACTTTCCCAATGTGGAGAGAGGGGAAGGAGATGTTTAAAGGTCAGTGTGTGAGCTCAGGTTAGCCCTGTTGGGTGTTTATTACGGCGCTCTATTGATTTAGTCATGATGATGACGGCCCTGATGATGATGAGGATGATGAGAACTCCATAAAACAAATGGGCTCCATCCAAAGATGTTCAGGCACTGCACAGCCTGTCCAGAGATGTGATTAGTTCCATTGGGGCCCTGGGCCCTGAGAACATTTTAAAGGTAACATAACCAAAGTGGACCCTATCCTACCCATGGGCCTCTGGGAAGGGAGGTCTTTGGTTTCACTTTGGCTAATAAAGAGGATCTTACACATGAATAAAAAATTTAAAAAGATTTGGGAGAATGAAGAACAACCAACAAAACAACAACATAACATCGCGTAAAAATCAGTTGGATATCGGACTCATTTTTCATTTACGGACCTTTCCCAGGTGTGTGTGGTGCAATGAGCAGGTAGTTAAGAGTATTTCCATCAGAATGTGTTGTCTTACGGGAGTGTTCCAGGAGGACTCGGAGCAGGTGACAGTCTCTGTGCAGGATGGCGGTCAGCAGCAACCTCGGACTGCATTCTGGGTCAGATGTCAGCAGCCTCAGCTGGCACTCGGAGGCCGCTTCGCCCGTCAGGCCCTCCCTTCAACCGAGACAGTCACAGGACAGATGGACAGACGGGAAGAGAGAGCAGCGGGAGAAACGACACACAACAACAGTGACAGATCTGCAGAGTCGGATAACTAGACTGATAGAAAGCAGTCCATTCAGCAAGGGAGGACACACATCTGCGAACCCGCAAATATACCGTTATGAAATAGCAACTTCCTTGAATGTCAGTTCCTCCCCTACCAGATTAGTCCACAAATACCTTCATGCTCGCGTTCTTAGAGTGTGCACCGGGAAGGAATTACGTTTAATCTTGGCCAGCTAAAAGCAAATGAACATTTGGGGAGAAGCCAAATCCATAAATATACAGCATAACCCTCTATGTCTTTTGTAGAACCATGAGGCTGCAGCCAGCTGGGTGTAATGAGGCATGTCCTTGGAGTGTGAATGTGCGTGTGTGTGTGTGTGAGTGCGTGTACTGTATACGTCTCAATAACATCTGATAAAAGGCAAGAAAAAAGTAGGCGGAGGAAGGGGGAGGGAAAGTTAGCCATCCCATTCCAGCCAAAAAGCGAGAGCGTTGTGCACCCTGCTGCTTGAGTAAGGAACACTATTCCTGAACCTGACGGCACGATTTATGTCGTCACTGGGGCTGCAAATCCAGGAGAAATCCTCCCTTAACTGCTGTGATAAATCTGACCAGCTACAGCACAGGGACGACTTCCAGTGTCAAAACAGATAGCTCCACACTTTTGATTGCCCATACTACTACTTGATTTATCGACGTGCTTTGTGTTTTTGTTGTTGTTTTATTTAATAATCATCACAGTCAGTTTATGTGAGGAGCTGAGCTGAGGGAAGGTCTGGTTACACTGGTTACAGGGCCCAACCATGGAAGGACCTGTGGATTTGGCCAGGGAACCACAGCACAGCAAGGCACCCTGCCATCGCTGAACATGAGGAAAATAAAAAGGTCATAAAAATTAACTAATTTCAGCTCTCCGAGCCTTGGGAGCATGGCAGGGCTTGGAGAGGGGGGATTTGTGCACTCTAAGCATGCGATGACATCACCCAAGGGTAAGGGTGGTGAGGGGTGGGGGCAGTTTGGGGCTAGGGCGGAGAGTGATTGAGTGCACCTTCTCAGGTCATACCAGTCATTCCTCCCCAAACCCCCAAACACGAACGCATGCACGCACACAACCCACCTTCTTCTCACTCCGAAGCAATCTCAGTCTTCTCTGTTCACACCCTCAGTGAAAACCCCCTCAGCAGCCATTAACATAAACACAGTGCTTTCCTCCTCTAACACTTTGGACTGCATCTGTGTTGCATTACAGTCCCTGGGTAAGACTGGGGCCCTCACAAAGACAACGACCTAGCAGAGTAAAGTATGAGCTATGAGCTATATGTGCAGACTATATGCCCCTAACTCAGCACACATATGGTCCTTGATATATGGTCATTGGACGGTGTTGGGTATACTGGCTGCGTGTAAGAGTTGGCGTGCGAGTGTGCGTATGTTACGTACCGTGCTGCCTGCTGGGTGAACAGGGCAGGGTGGATGGCACTGAGCCAGTGTATGCCAGGACTGCTTGGGGATTGGGCCAGAGCTGACAGAGAGCCCTCTCCTGGTCTGTACTGGAAGGTCCTGAGGGACATGACACATAGCCATCAGAATACAGTATATCAGCCGTATGTGTCCTTTGCATATGCCATGACTGTGTATTTCCCTCAGAACAGACTCAATTCGTCGGGGCATGGAATCTACAAGGTGTCAAAAGCGTTCCACAGGGATGCTGGCCCATGTTGACTCCAATGCTTCCCACGGTTGTGTCAAGTTGGCTGGATGTCCTTTGGGTGGTGGACCACTCTTTATACACACGGGAAACTGTTCCGCGTGAAAAACCCAGCAATGTTGCAGTTCTTGACACAAATGGGTGTGCCTGGCACCTACTACCATACCCCGTTCAAAGGCACTTAAATATTTTGCCTTGCCCATTCACCCTCTGAATGGCACACATACACAATCCATGTCTCAATTGTCTCAAGGCTTAAAAATCATTCTTTAACCTGTCTCCTCCCCTTCATCTACACTGTTTGAAGTGGATTTAACAGGTGACATCAATAAGGGATCATGTCATGGAAAGAGCAGGTGTTCCTAATGTTTTGTACGCTTAGTGTATAACAGATGGTGGTTGAACTGATGGAGTCACAGTAGGACACCATGCTTAAAGAGTGGTCTATTAGAACAAAGCCAGGTTAATCTTACCATGTTGCAGTAACGTACATTAATATATGTTTATGATGTCAGAGTGTACCCCTGGTACTAATGGGCTGTTTAAAAGACTACAGTTCCCAGAGGTTTGAGGTTGGTAAAAGGCAGACAGTATGAGCTACAGCTGATTGGCTGTTGCGGCCAGTGTGAGCGGTCAGATGTCAGAGGTCGTGTCTGTACCAGAAGAGCTGAGGCAGGGGTGCGGTCACGATGACCAGCGTGGTCAGGAGCTGGTTACACAGGCTGTGGATTGAGGCGACCCAGACGCAACCCCCCACGGGGTGCTCCGACTGCACCAGCGCCTCGGGCCGCTCACACACACTCCACATAAGCTGCTCCACACAAAGCAGCACCGCGGTGATGTCACACCTGGGGGGAAAGAAGGGGTTAGACACTACACAGAGCATCCGTAACTCTCATCAGGCATGACATCATTACATGACAACATGGTTGGCGAGCCAGATGAAACCTCCTGCTGAGTTTATGACAGGACAGTTACGGGCCTGAGGCCTTTGCTCTACTAAATAAAATACATATTCTTTCATGTCCAAAAAGCAGTAAATCTGTTTCCTCAATTGGTTGTAGGGCTTTTATTGGACTATTTCTTCACAGGAGCCAAATCTGTCGTCACCGTTCTAAGTTAGAAAGATATAATCCCTAAGTGTGTCTTAGTGTAATCATGTGAGGGTTGTGAGTTGGAGCAGAGATAGACAGAGGCACCCTACACTTCCTCTCTCTCTTTGGGAGGTCTGTATGTAACACAGTGCAAGCACACACACACACACACACACACACACACACACACACACACACACACACACACACACACAAGCCCTCTCTCCCCACACTCTAATTCAGGGACGACCTGCACATTGTCATCTGTCAGTGGTGATGGGAGGCAGTTGTGGACTGAAGGCCTAAGCATGTGTTCAGGGTGTGTTTAGTATGTGTTAATGCAGCGTTCAGTCCCCCACGTCAAGCCCAAGAGGAACACTATGAAACTGAGCCAATAGTGAGGGGATAGGAAAGAAGCAGGCATAAGGAGGCCATACTATATAGTAGAACACAGCTTTGCTGCCTACAGCACATACTGCTACACTAACACTATTAACAATATTAACACTATTAACAATATTAACACTATGAACAATATTAACACTATTAACACTATTAACACTATTAACAATATTAACACTATGAACAATATTAACACTATGAACAATATTAACACTATGAACAATATTAACACTATGAACAATATTAACACTATGAACAATATTAACACTATTAACAATATTAACACTATTAACAATATTAACAATATTAACACTATTAACACTATTAACAATATTGAACACTGATGTAACAAATGTAACCATAGAACACGATGTAACACATGAACACATGAAAAATATGAACAAGTAGTTAACACATAACAATATAACAATGAACATAGTGAACACTATAACACATTAACATATTAACACGAGTTAACACTATTAACACTATTAACAATATTAACACTATTAACAATATTAACACTATGAACAATATTAACACTATGAACAATATAACACTATGAACAATATAACACTATGAACAACATGAACAATATAACACGTAAACAAATAACAAGAAACACTAGTGAACACGTAGTAACAAGAGTAACACATGAACAAGATAACACAGGAACACGAGAACACGAGGAACACGAGGAACAAGAGGAACAAAGGAACACGAGGAACAAGAGGAACACAGGAACAAGAGAACACGAGGAACAAGAGGAACACGAGGAACACGAGGAACAAGAGGAACAAGGAACACGAGGAACCACGAGGAACACGAGGAACACGAGGAACAAGAGGACACAAGAGGAACAAGAGGAACAACACGAACAACACGAACAACACGAACAAGACGAAAACACCAAAAAGACGACCAATGACAAACACCGCGTAACAGACGAACAAGACCCAACAACACGAACAACACGAACAAGACAACAAACGAACAAGACCAACAACAACAACAAGACCGAACAACACTAACCAACGACGAACAACCGAACAAGACGAACAAGACCAACAAGACGAACAACACGAACAAGACCAACAACACGAACAAGACCAACAACACTAAAAATACCAACAACACTAACAATACTAACAACACTAACAATACTAACAACACTAAACAATACCAACAACACTAACAATACTAACAACACTAACAATACCAACAATACCAACAATACTAACAACACTAACAACACTAACAACACTAACAACACTAACCATAATAACAGCACTAACAATACTGTGTGTATGTATGCGTGTATGTGTGCATGTATGCATGTGTGTCTGTGTGTCTGTGTGTCTGTGTGTCTGTGTGTGGGGGAGCCCTGCCTCATACCATACTGTACCTGATCTGCAGGTGCCTCTTGTAGGAGGGCCGTGCCCTGGAGTACCTCTGCACAAGAACCTGCAGACTCTCACTGGTCACCTGAGCGAGCACGTCCCGCCCCACAGAGCCCGGCACAGCCAACCACAGGTCAGTACGAAGCCCAGTCAGGAAGTAGTGCCACATCTGCACTGAGAATGAACACCTATCACCCTGCAGCACATAGAGAGAGAGAGAGGGAGAGGGATAGAGAGAGCGAGAGTGCTGTCAACACATTGAAGGCCCCATGGTCACACCACCTGCACTCTGCACCTGGGCTCCTGTACCCCTATGGGACTAATGACTGCTTCCATGCCCTGATCTGTGGAAGGCATCACAGACAAGGGGAACAGTCTGGAATATCACTAAACACACACACAGACGCTCCCGCACGCACACACACACATGCACACACAGATGCTCACGCACACACACACACGCTCACACATACACTGAAATTAAATGACATAAAGATTCATGGGTTTTACATCGGGTCAAAGAAATGTTGTTAAAGAAAGAGAAAGAGAGAGTGAGAGTGAGAGAGAGAGAGAGAGAGAGAGAGAGAGAAAGAGGAGAGAGAGCGAGAGAGAGAGAGGAGAGAGTGAGAGCGAGAGAGAGAGAGAGAGAGAGAGAGAGAGAGAGAGAGAGAGAGAGAGGCTGGTTTCATGTCTCTAATTGCTTTCAGACAGGGGGGAAACAGTCCCACAGTTGGTGTTGTGACCAAAGAGAGAATATTAACAACATGTTCGACATCAAGTAATGATCTCAACCCCCTCTTCCCCCCAAGCCAATAATTTACGGATTGTCTCTGGACAGAGAGCGTGACCGTACGTCCGGGATTAAGGCTCCATCCTCTGCCTCTGGACCCAGCAGACCCCCCTGCATTATGATCTGTACCAGGACCAAGAGGAAGTGCACGTGTGGCTGAGACTTGTCTGTGGCTGGGCCTGGCCAGGTTCTGGGTCTGAGCCGGAAGAGCTGAGCTGCCTCCCCTGAGCTCCAGGATCCAGGACAGACAGAGGAGAACACACCTGCATACAGCAGGCCTGTCTGACCTCAGTGCCCGGGAATGGAGGGAGAGGGAGTGTGCGAGGGGTTTCTGGGTTGGTTTAGGGGGCATAGGTATGGGAGGACAGAGGCTTCAGCAGCCCTGTTTCCAGATGGTCACAGTGCAGACGGCTCGATCCCACCAGCCCTCAGGGAAGCACAGGAGCCTCAGATGTCCTGGGAGAGCTGAGAGTGGAGCCCTGGGTTTGGAGGCGGGAGTGGTCGGGGGCGCTAAGAGTGCAAAGAGTGCATTTTGGAAATACATCTAATTGTAAAGGACTCTTCAGATTTGTAGAGACAAAAAAATGACACGACAAACGCAACAAACACTGCAAGACATCCGTTACTCTCTCTTGCTGACTAGCAGAGAATCTCCATTAGCACAGAGAGCATTAACGAAACGTGGTAATCGTGGTCCAGCTCACCTCGTAGAAGGGTTTGGGGTCAGCCCAGTGGTGGCTCTCTGCGTCCTGCAGGAGAGTGCTGGTGCACACCTGGACACAGTAGCTGGTCAGCTGCTCTCTCAGGCCCTCCGTCACATCCTGGTACCTCTGGATGGGCAGCAGTGTCATCGGCCTGCAGGGCCACAAACATCACACATACAGGAACACATTTAACAGGGTTGCACAGGGGCCAAAGAAAGGGGAAGGGGGTCAGGGAGGGAAGGGGCAGTTTAAGAGAATAGGGGGTGAAGGGCCACAGGGCAGGTGAAGGTGGGGGGCGTGAGGGAAGAGGTAGGGCACAGGGCTAAGCAGGACACTTTGAGGAGGGATACGTGGAGTGCAGTGGCCAAAGGGGGACTAGGAGGTAAATAAATCTGCCAGATGTATTCACAAATGGCAGTGATTAGAACCAGTCAATCACTTCCCTCCCTCCCTTCTCTCTTAGCCCCTCCCCCCTTCATAGAGCCCACCCTCAAACTCTCTCCATCTTGCTCCCCAGCCCTCTCTGTCAGCGCTAGGCCACACAGACTCTCTGTAGCCTTCTCCCTCTCCCCTGCCTTCACCCTTTGGCCCAGTTTGAGAGGCAACATCTGTTTTCCAACCAACATCTCCTCCATTCCACCAGACAGACGAAAGGACGGTGCAGTCAGGCCATCGCTCGCACACAGATATGCAGATTCTTTACAACTCAATTATAGAGTTTTAGTACCATTGGCAGTGCACTGACAATCTCCCTGGGCTGAGAAACTACAATGGACATCAATAAATCCCCCAGAATATTTTGGAAAATATGTCTTGTGAACCCCCTGGCTTTTTATGGCTTTCTGCTGGTTTTAACCGCTTACGGATCGGACCCTTTTTTTCAATTTTCGCCTAAAATGACATACCCAAATCTAACTGCCTGTAGCTCAGGACCTGAAGCAAGGATATGCACATTCTTGATACCATTTGAAAGGAAACACTTTGAAGTTTGTGGAAATGTGACATTAATGTAGGAGAATATAACACATTAGATCTGGTAAAAGATAATACAAACAAACAAAAAACTGTTTATTTTTATTTTTTTATCATCTTTGAAATGCAAGAGAAAGGCCACAATATAATATTGCAGTTTAGTCACAATTTAGATTTTGGCCACTAGATGGAAGCAGTGTGTGTGCAAAGTTTCAGATTGATCCAGTGAAGCATTGCAATACTGGACTATTTTGTATCAAGTCTGCCCAAATGTGCCGAATTGGTCAATTGACACCTTTTCAAGTACATAACTATAGAGAACATACAAAAATGATATGGTAATACAAAATGTAAGTTTACACACTCCCAGGAATGTCATACATGATGGATCATTAGCTTATACACTAACTTTCACACATCTAGATGGCTGGGCGGGGTGGGTGTGGAGCCAGAGACAGCAGGGGTTCAAACTGTAGAACCCAGTTCCTACATTTGAATATAACAATGGATTTTATCAAACAAAACTATGCTACATTTTATCTCTGGGACCCTTAGGATGACAAATCAGAGCAAGATTACTGAATGTAAGTACATTATTTACCTTCAGAAGTGAATGTATCAAACCAGTTGCCATGATACGTTTTTTGTTGTTGTGCACTCTCCTCAAACAATAGCATGGCATTTTTCACTGCAATAGCTACTGTAAATTGGACAGTGCAGTTAGATTAACAAGAATTTAAGCTTTCTGCCCATATAAAGACATGTCTATGTCCTAGAAAGTTTGCTGTTACTTACAACAGTTATGCTAATCACATTAGTGCACGTTAACTCAACCGTCCCGTATACGGGACACCGATCCCACAGAGGTTAAATCTTTGTTGTCATGGAGGTGCGGTTTTCTTTTAGCCATGACACAGGGTTGTAGTGATTATGTAACTGAGAAGGGAGTTGGAAGGTGGACTGTTGAACAAGGGGAGTGGGTGGTGTTTAATACAACTATTATGCTCTTGTGTGTGGAAACAAACAGAGGTACAAATGCACACATACATACCTATATACAAACTCACACACAGTCTAAACAGACTCACACTCTTGCTGCGGTGGTGTTGGTCTCTCTGAGTTGGGCCTCATAGTGGCACAGCTGTTGGTGGATGTACATACTGGTGCCCAGCAGAGCAACCAGGTTCTTCAGGGGGGCAGCAGAGGGCACCTCCCCTACCCGTTCCTCCACACGGCCCAGGATGGCAGACGTGACCCAGGCACACACCTCCACAAAGCTGCAGCGCACCTCCAGGAGGGCGGCATCTCCACACGCCTCCGCCAGGGGCAGGAGGGCATCACACTCCCCCATGATGTCACCACAGAACTAGGCAGAGAGGAACAGAGAGGGAATGGATGAGAGCCATGCCAACAAGAGAGAGAGAAAGGGAGAGAGAGAGAGAGAGAGAGAGAGAGAGGAGAGAGAGAGAGAGAGAGAGAGAGAGAGAGAGAGAGAGAGAGAGAGAGAGAGAGACAGCATAGATATGAGGTGTCTCAGTAAAGGCATGCTATAAACATCTCAATCACCTTTGTATCTCTTCTTTTAACAACCACTCCCATCTTATCCATGCCCCTAGCTGAAAGGTAAGAGAGGTAAGAGGACTGTCCTTCTATGTAGAAAGATGGTGTCAAATGAATCACCTTACAGATGGACGGACAGACACAGAGACATCACCCTGACACACACACACACACACACACACACACACACACACACACACACACACACACACACACACACACACACACACACACACACACACACACAACCCTGGCTCATGTGCAACCATTGACAGCACATTGAGAATAATGACAGAGGATCAGCGAATGCAAAAGAGTCACACGTGTGTGAATGAGTTCACCTCACAATTTATATGTGAGTTATGTGCCAAGGTGATTTAAAAGCAGTAAAACATGGCCAGGTACTATAATATATTTCCTAAATTCCCCCAGGAGTTGGCTTGCACTTAGTGTGGAAAAGCCCTGAATGTATTTTTTCCCTTCTCCATAACAAAGCCCTTCCAATAGTGGGTCAATCAATCCCAGGCAGCATGGATATATCAGCTCAGTTTCATTTAGTTTTAGACTCACACTACCTTACTTGACTTACTGTAACACTGGCAGGAAGTTCGACATTCTGTCAGTGAGTTTGCAATGTGTAGACAGAATTGACATTGCCTTGTAGCAATTCCTGGGCAGAATAAGCCTCTAGTGGGCCAGAAAGGCCAGGGAACAATGTCCATTTGGGCCAGGAAGTCAATAGACAATAGAGTGCATCGAGTCCTTAGGAGCTTAGCAGAGTGAGTGCCTTGGGCCTGCAGGTCGTCCACCGGCACAGACAGACGGACGGACAGAGACAGACAGACTCATCGCTCTGAGGACCCACAAGGTGTCAGTGAGATTTATTGCTCACACACCTCTTCCGCTCCAGTTATAGACTGAACCTTAACTAGCTCAGATCAAAGATACAGATCCCTACAGGTCTTATAGGCTCCACTGCAAGGTGACTGGAATGATACAAAGGTAAAGCAAGAATGGATCTCTCTCTGTTTCTATGAGAAAACGCGAGGCTACAGGCAGCTGAGAGATTGCAAAGTCAACCTGGTGGACATACAGGCAACTGCCAAAATAAAGGAAACACCAACATAAAGTGTCTTAATAGGGCGCTGGGCCACCACAAGCCTCCAGAACAGCTTGAATGCGCCTTGGCATAGATTCTACAAGTGTCTGGAACTCCTTTGAAGGGATGCGACATCATTCCATGATTCCATAATTTTGTGTTTTGTTGATGGTGGTGGAAAATGCTGTCTCAGGTGCCACTCCAGAATCTCCCATAAGTGTTCAATTGGTTTGAGATCTGGTGACTGATACACACACACACACACACACACACACACACACACACACACACACACACACCGACACAGACACACACCATTTTAACCTAGCCATGGTAGCAAAAATAATGGGCGACTAATCATTTTTATACATGACCCTAAGCATGATGGGATGTTAATTCCTTAATTAACTCCGGAACCACACCTGTGTGGAAGCACCTGCTGAATATGTACTTTGTATCCCTCACTTACTAAAGTGTTTCCTTTATTTTGGCAGTTACCTGTACCCATTTATGGTCATGTAGGCAGGGGAACAGGTCATGCAACTGAAGCTGGGATGGAGCTACAAAGGTATGCATATGAATGAGTGAACTATTGATCGGTCTAATGCTTTTGAACTGGCCACATTTCATGCTCGGGTCTTGTATAGTAATTTGCTCTCGCCTCAAACACGCAGGCATATGTCAAAAAATGGAGGAGAAAAAAAAAAAGGTCTCGTCTTTGGTCTCGGTGGCTCCTCAATGCAAATGCATGCATGTATAACCTTTGAGCTGAGAGGCTCTCATATTTTAAGCGTTGACCTACACATAAATATGTTGTACAGGTCTTGAGCAGAGACACATTCTGACACTCGTTAGCAATGAGGAGCCACAACTAGTGTCGGTGTAAAGGGCTAGAGGAGAGGAGGAGATGAAGGAGGAGGAGAGGGGAGAAAACACAGGCTTCTTATGAGGCAAGGCTGGACAAAGAGGTTTAGGCCCCAATTCGATCAATTGCAGCTAAGAAAAATCACTGCGGGTTCAATCAAAATGCTTACGGTGTCGCTTAACATAGGTGTTAGCCACATTAAAACCCACATACCCTACAATCTGTTCCGCTCACAACCATTATCATTGGATATTGACGTGAAACCAAACACAGCGTAAACATTCTATGTCAACCCGCAGTCAATCTTTTCCTTTATCTGTGATTGATTGAATGATTTTAGAGCAGCATTGAGTGTGTAATGGAACCACAGTCAATCATGGTGTCCTGCCCACCGTAAAGGGTGCAAGTCGACCAGGCAGCTTTTTCTTCACACGGGCTGTCATGGTACGAAAGTTGACTGAGCACTGTCATATGGACAACACATGTTGATCTTTATGCTTGCCTTGGCGACCATCTTGGGGCGGTCCCTCTCTGGGCAGGTGAGGGAGGAGCCATCTCTGTGGGGTGTGTTAGTCAGGACCATGTGGGCGGAGCCAGATGTGTGTGACAGCTCCTCCTGCTGCAGACTCTTGGTGCACACATCCTCCAGCACCACCTTGACACAATGAGCCATCTGGGGCACCAGCTCCCTGAACGCAGCCCTCCAATCAAACTCCAGAACAATGGCCTATGATCAGGAAGAGAAAACCACACAGCCAATCAACACAGGGAAAGGACAAAATGAGCATCTAAAGACTTCAGTCTTCGTCAGAAATATGTTTGATCAGGTGATATTGCAGCAGTTGACGGAACAATGCCTTATTGCTCAAGCTGCAGTTTCTCCTCCGAGGCAGCAGAGGGCAGTCTCACCTCCGGGCTCTGGAAGAGCATCTCTGCCGTGGTCTTGTTACCATCCACAGTAGTCATATCCAAGTTGTCTTTGGTCTTTTTCAATATTCCTATCAACAGAAACAGATATGGCTTCAAAATGATTCTCTACATTGGAATAAGGTCTCAGATGATATGGATGTGTTTGGCCAAATCTCCAAGCCCGTAGCTAAGGGAAATTAAATGGCCATCAACCTAAAGACAAGGCCATGACATAAACTCATTGATAACACATTTTTTGAAACAATAGGCTATTCAGGAAATATAGCTACTGTATAATTCTTAGAAGTAAAGTCTTTGGCACAAATATTGCTGTAATGTACACAATAATATCCCATGGTGGGCAGCATGGACAATGCTTGCATAACTGTACATAAACCAATCAGTAAGAGTGACAAGCAAATTACTACATGCCTCCGATTTACATGAGCAGTAAATCAAGTTTTAAGTCAAATGCAACAGTGAGCGGTTTATTAGTCTATATCTGGGGATGGAGTTGATTTGAACCCAGATAGCAACGGCCATAACTGGGCTAATCCTTTGAGGGGGTGAGGGGGGAGGATAAGACGGGTGTATGGAGGAACAAATTAAAAGGAGCACACATCAAGGCCACGTTTTCCTAATCAGAAGCGGAAAAGTGAGACCCCAGGCGAGGCAATTTAGCCGAACAAGACCGCGCAGAACGGAAGAGGGGAGGAAGCAGCCCGCGCGTCACTTTTTGACCTTTAAGCCCATCTGATGAATTTCTGGTAATTAAGCCGTTTGATTGCCTAAAATTAATGATTTGGATAACTGCCCTTTAAAGGCTGTTTACTTCTCTGTAAATTGAGCCTTTCTGCATGTCTTGTTTTTTAATGTAACCTTTATGGAAATTACTACATGCACCAAAAGCTTTCATTTAACTTCTCGGCTCCAGTTCAGAGGGGAAAGAGGAGAGGGCTGGTAAAGACTTGTACGCAACCAAGATAATTCCCTGTTAAAAGTACACATTTAAATAACACATGGAGAGTATGCAGTCTGTTTAAACTGTATGTCCAGGCAAGTTATGTGTGCAAAAGCATGCAATGTTGTTGTTTGGTGTTCTGTGTGCATATGTGTGTGTGTGTTGTTCTGTGGTTAGAGTGTGTAGTGTAGTCTCTGCCTGATAGCGCCGCAGTGCAAAGGGACCTCTTTGTCTGAACATCATGTTCTCTCTCTCTCTCTCTCTCTCTCCTCTCTCTCTCTCTCTCTCTCTTCGCTCTATCTCTCGCTCTCTCTCTCTCTCTCTCTCGGATCGGTCTTCTCCTCTCTCTCGCTTCTCTTTCTCTATTCTCTAGCTTCCTCTCTCTCTCTACCTCTATATCATCCTCTCCTTTTCTCTCTCCTTCTATCTCTCTCCTCTCTCTCTCTGTGACATCACTGTTGTAGTGTATAGTATATACCTATGCACACAGGTGCAAAGTTGATGTGCAGAAAATCGCTAACAGTTCACGCAGACACACACTGTGTGTGTGTGTGTGTGTGTGTGTGTGTGTGTGTGTTTCTGTAGCGGTTGTGTACCTCTCACACTGCAGGGAGTCTCCCCAACACAGTTGATGAATGCCAGTTGAGTGGCCAGCTCGTCCACTTGGCTCTCCAGACCCAGCAGAGTGCAGGCTAGCTGGGTCAGGACCCTCAGCTGGTGAGATGTTAGGCTGAAGTTCCTGCCTCTCCCGGGGGGCAGCTCCAGAGGCGCTGTGGTGGACGAGGTTACACAGAGAAAACAACCACTTTACCCTATCTGTCACTAGCAGGCTGTCATTTCATATTACAGGATTATTCAACCTCATGTGGTATTCAACACACAGACACAGACACATGCACGCACGCACGCACACACACCTCTACTCCATGATATTACACCCTCTACCACCTTAGTATAACCTTACACCCCTTATGAATATCGATTCCCGCACAATTCCCAACACTCCAACAACAAAAAAGGAAAACTTTCTCCCAACGAAGTCACAGATCCTCGGCACAAACTTTTCTCCCCCTAACCCGCGGATGACCCCCTCAGCAAATATGGATTTCCCATTTCTGAAGCTGCCAAACCCATCACCCAGGGGATGTTCCGCATTAAGCCAAAGAATGGGCGGCTGTGAAATGTGTTGCTGTACTCCCAGACACATGAACAAATACTTTTGTGTGTCCGCTTAAATGAGTTCCTCCACTGCAAAGGCATTTGGGAATGGATCAGCGCGGCATTAGCCATCGCTATAAAAGCATGGCCATGATTGAGTGTAGAAAAAAAGAGGCTTCCAATAATTGCAACACTATTGCCTCTAGATCCTAATGTTATTTTGTCACATTGTTAAACAAAATCTGAAAATATGACAACACACTCATTCCCTCGCCTCCAGGCTTAATCATGCATGAGAGTGTGTGGAGGGACTGGTAAATATCTTTATTTGTGGACGGCTTTTGCCTTACATTTGCACATGTCAGTCTTCCTAGATGATTAGCCCAATGCTCCGAAGACCCAGGAGCTAGCTGGTCACCTTGCAATACTATTCATGCTTCAAATATATGTGTTGGCATGTGTAAGTATGTGTGTATACATACAGTGTTGTGTGTCTGTTGGGTATAATGGGAGGAAAAGTGGGATGAATGAAAAGGGAAAGAAGAAGAAAGGGAAAGGAAAAGATGAAAGAGGGAAGGAAAAGATAAAAGGAGGGAAAAATAAATAAAGGGAATTGGGGTAGGAAAGACGACAAAAACGGAAATGGAATGCAGGAAAAGGAAAAAAAGGAAATTGAAGAAGAAAAAAAAAGAAGGAATGGAAAAGTAGTGGAAAATCAGAAAAAAGGAAAAAAGAATGAGTAAGGGGGCGCAGAAAGGGGAGGAAAGTATAATAAAAAAAAAGGGTAAAAAGAGATAGTGTGGGGATAAAAGGAAAAAATGTAAAAAAAGAGGGGGGGGGGGAAGAAGGGATTTAAAAAAGAGGAAGAAAAGGATAGGAAGAAGGTGCTTTAAAGGGGAAAAACGTGGTGGCTAGCGTGTATGAGAGTGTAATTAAGCAGCATAGGCCCATGGCTTCGCAGCTCCTCAGTAATGGCTTCCAGTGGGAGTCGACGCTACAGAGAATACCTCTCCAAATGAATGACCTGGCTGACACACACGCACGTCACTAGCTCTGTACAGGTTGAGATACAGAGACACAGCACCTACAGCCGGTGAGCTCGCTGAGACTCTTAGCAAGGAGTTACAGTCAGTGTCAGAATGGGTAATTAGCAATAAACTGGTCTTAAATCCATCTAAAACCAAAAGCATTGCATTTGGTTCAAAGCATTCTCTTAGACCTAAACCTCAACTGGAGTTGTGCATTATGGGTGTGACCATTAAGAAGATGAAGAAGCTGAACTCGTAGGAGTAACATTGGATGGTCAGTTATCATGGTCAAGTCATATTGACAAAGTTGTTGTGAAGATGGGGAGGGGTATGTCTGTTTATAAAAAGATGTTCTGCGTTTTTGACACAAAGATCAACTGTACTAGTTGTTCAGGCTCTGGTCTTGTCTTATCTTGATTACTGTCTGGTAATGTGGTCAGGTGCAGCAAAGAAAGACCTAGCAATGCTGCAGCTGGCTCAAAACAAAGCAGCACACCTTGCCCTTAACTGCACGCACAGAACTAACATCAACAACATGCATGATAATCTTTCATGCTTGAGGGTTGAGGAGAAATTGACTACTTTTCTTCATGTCTTTTTAAGAAACATTTGTGTGTTGAAAATGCCTAACCACTTGTATAATCTATTTGCATACACTTCAAACAGATATACAGTGCCTTCAGAAAGTATTGACTTTTTCCACATTTTGTTGTGTAACAGCCTGAATAAAAAATCGATTACATTTAGATGTTGTGTCACTGGCCTACACACAATACCCCATAATGTAAATGTGGAATTATGTTTTTAGAAATTTTAACAAATTATTTAAAAATGTAAGCTGAAATGTCTTGAGTCAATAAGTATTCAACCCCTTTGTTATGGCAAGCCTGAATAAGTTCAGGAGTGACATAACAAATTGCATGGACTCACTCTATGTGCAATAATAGTGTTTAACATGATTTTTGAATGACTACCTCATCTCTGTACCCCACACACATAATTATCTGTAAAGTCCCTCGGTCAAGCAGTGAATTTCAAACACAGATTCTACCACAAAGACCAGGGAGGTTTTCCAATGCCTCACAAAGAAGGGCAGCTATTGGAAGATAAAATAGATAAAAAAATAAAAAAAGCAGACATTGAATATCCCTTTGAGTATGGTGAAGTTATTAATTACAGTTTGGATGGCATATCAATGCACCCAGTCACTACAAAGATACAGGTATCCTTCCCAACTCAGTTGCCGGAGAGGAAGGAAACCGCTCAGTTACAGAGTTTAATGGCTGTGATAGGAGAAAACTGAGGATGGATCAACAACATTGTAGTTACTCCACAATATTAACCTAAATGACAGAGTGAAAAGAAGGAAGCCTGTACAGGAAAACAATTATTCCAAAACATGCATTCTGTTTACAATAAGGCACTTAAACTGCAAAACAATGGGTAAAGAAATTAACTTTATGTCCTGAATACAACGTGTTATGTTTGGGGAAAACCCAATCCACTCTTCATATTTTCAAGCATGGTGGTGGCTGCATCATGTTATGGGTATGCTTGTCATCGGCAAGGACTGGGGAGTTTTTTTTTAGGATAAAAAGAAACGGAATAGAGCAAAACACAGTAATAATCCTAGAGGAAAACCTGCATTCTGCTTTCCAATGGACACTGGGAGACAAATTCACCTATCAACAATAAACAAGGCCAAATATACACAAGACTTGCTTACCAAGACAACACTGAATGTTCCTGAATGGCCTAGTTACAGTTTGGACTTAAATCGGATTGAAAATCTATGGTAAGACTTGAAAATGGCTGTCTAGCAATGATCAACAACCAACTTAATAGAGCTTGAATAATTTTAAAAAGAATAATGTGCAAATATTGTACAATCCAGCCAGGTGTGTAAAGCTTAACAAGAAAGACTCACAGCTGTAATCGCTTACGCAAAAAGGGTGATAGGTTAATAGTGTGAGTACTTATTTGTGCTCTCGGTCTCTCGGATCTCTCCTCGATCTCTCTCATCTCTCTCCATCGAAAAGGGTGGCCTAAGCGGTTCTCTCTCTGACTCAAACTCTCTCTCTCGGTCTGCCAAAGAAATCTCTCTCTCTCCTACTCTTCGCTCTCTTCAATCTCTCTCTCTCTCTCAATCTCATCGGTCGTTTCTCCAAATCTCTCTGGCAGGGTAAAAAGAGCAGGGATACGAAAATCAACAAAAAAAAAAATCTCCGAAAGGACGAAAGCGTCTGCGCGTACAGCGAAATCAGAAAAAAGGGAGGGATCGGAAAAGAAGTCTCTAAACTCGGGTCGTCTCCATACTCGGAGAGGGGGGTACAAAAAGCAAAATCTCTCTCGGGTCTCTCGTCATCAATCTCTCATCAACTTCTCAGTCTCGCATCAGTCTGCTCTCTCCCAAGCAAAAATCCTCTCTCTCTCTCTCAATCTGCTCTACTCACAACAAATCTCCACACAACCTCTAGAGACTAAGAAATGATAAGACTTTTCTCAAGAAACACCAACACATAACCCACTCTTAATTAAAAGGGGGGGGGGGAAAAACGTGGTCAGATCACGTGCTGTAGCTCTGCCTGACATTTGTGGGGGCAAAAAACTGTTATGAAAACACACTGTCCTGACACTGGTGGGGTTCCCTTCATCTCCCTTCTCTCAGGGATGGTGTCCGTGACCCAGAAGACTGTTTCCCTCCCCCGTCTCTCCAGGTGCTTTCCGTTACCAAACACTCCCCACCGGACCGATTACCGGGATGTAACAGCCCTGTCTACTCTCCAACACCCAAACTACATGTATTTATAGCCCTGGTTCCACCTACTCGACAGTACAGCCATTTAAAGGTCCATTAGCGTTTCACATCAACACAGTGAACCAAAAAAATGTGGGAAGTGCTAAAGGACACCCGAGGTGTGTCATCGACAAGAGAGCAACAGATAGGCAGGGACTAAGAAAACATGGTAAGGGGGTTCACGGGGGTAAGGGTCATCTACGAAAAAACTATATGAGGGGAAACGACACGGTAACCTGCAGCCCAAGATATCATATATTTGAAATAAAAGTAAGAGAAGGGGTAGAATAATAGGTAAAAGGACTGAGAAAAAGTGAAAAAGATGTGCACAAAAGGCAACTAAAGGGAATTTGGACTACCCTAAGGGAGCAAACCCTGTCCAATGAAATAGAGTATAGAGAGATGTAGGCGTATATGGCTGTCACATACGGGGTGGCGTGCTGTTAGCGGGGTGGTGATGGTATTTCATTGACGTCTGGAGACTGGTGCACTGGGTGTAAAACACAGGCAGACAGGCGACCTGATAGGAGGAGCGGTAGCGGGTTGAAAGTCAGGGGCTGGGCCGCATATTCATATCACAATTGTCAACTCAGATGGAACAAGTTAATGTAAAGTACGTGATGGTTCAAACAAACCATATAAGGACAATGACCAACGTGACTAGTATGTGAAGACCAGTCTTCACCAGTAAAGACAACATGTAGAAAAGGGGGACTGTGTCAGTTATGAGTATGGGTGGCCAATGATCGGGTCAGCATAGTGCGTTGGGTAAAGACCACAAACGAGACAAAACAACCTCGCCTGTGTGGGGAAAGAAAGGGGCCAGTCAGTACTCCTCCCACGGAGGGCATGTTGCAGGCCTGAGGGTTGAACAACATTAGCAAAGGCGGTACAAAGTGACGGGGCAAAAAAACAAAAAAAAGGGGGGGGAGAGGGACCCTAAAGAAAAAAGCCGGGCGGCCATTGACGTGAGCAATTAAAAAACGGGAGAGAGGGGATGGGATGAAAACAGAAGGTGGAGGGATGGCGGGAGGATGGGAATGAGAAATTCCTCAGCAGTTGTAAAATATTGAATTCCGGTTTTTACGGGGCGGATGTTTCTTGGCGAACAGTTTAGACAAAGCGCGAACAGGTGCATGCAGCCCGTGAAAGCAAAATGTCAAACAATTGTGCTGGGGTAGGGTGGCGGGGCTGCCAATCCCTGATGTATAAAGGCACACAAACTGAAGTGCTACCCGTGGTTGGTCGGTATCACTTTCCCTTGCAGGCTATGAACATTTCCTCAAGTGCTCACTCTCTCTTTCATCCTCTCTCTAGCCCTGAGTCGTCAGAGTGGGGTTAAACCGGCTTGTTGTCGGGCGGCCGTCTTCTGGTCCTGGCTCTGACCCCAGAGGCCCGGCACTACTAACAGCCCATTACGTTGAGGGGAATTGCATGTGTCTGACGTGGCCGAAACCAATTATTAGACACAATATTCTGAAAATGCCAAAATGTATGGGGGGGGGAACGCGAAAAAGAGTCTTTTTGTGACTAGAGGGGGGCAATCGATGAATGAGCAATAATAATTGGCCAGCATTAGGATTAAAAAAATTTACAATCTCTCTCTCATCAGCTCATTTGCTACGTGCACTATCTACAAGGGGGAGAGTCAGAAGAGTGCTCCTCATCTGCAAAGCTCAATGCAGGAGGGTCTCAAAACACGCGCCTCTCTCGGATCGGGTCGGGCTACGGGAGAAAAAATCTCGGGTCGGGTCGGGTGGGAAATCTCCTCTGTCTCGCTCTCGGTCATCATCTCAATCCGAAAGGAGTCATCTGCTGGCGAAGAGATCTCTCTCGGTCTCGTCAAAAAATCAGTCTCTCGGAAAAAAGGGAACTCAGCGGGGTCTCTCTCGTCTCTCGAAAGGTCTCATCTCATCTCTCTCTCTCTCGGTCGAGAAGGGGGATCGCGTCTCTCTCTCTCTCGTCCTCCTGACGGTCTCAAAGTCGGTCCTCCTCCTCGATCTCAATCGCTCTCTGCTCTCTCTCTCTGCCAGGGTTTGGTTAGCTGGCTTGGCCTCAAGCCTCACATCTCAATCTCCACCCATGTATTACAATACACAGAGAGTCGCTGAGATTGTGTGCATAATGTTTTCTGGATGATGCAAACTATCAGTTTCGTGTGTGGAGAGGGATTGCGAAATTTCAAACGTGCCCATGACAAGTTATTTATCAATGCGAGTCCAGATCGCCGGCGCTATTCTCCGCAACTGGCACTAGACAGATAAAAGAAAGGGAGGGGAACACAAAGAGGCTGTACAAGAGTGTATTGAGACAAGAGATCCAAAATCTGCATGATGTAAAACCGCAGTGAACCCAGGGACCTCCGCTCACTCCTACGATCAGCTGGTCTCTCTTGTCTAACCCCCCGGGGCCCCCCCCCCCGAAACACTGCATGCTGCACCAGAGAGACTGATGGGTATGGGGAGGTGGGGTGAAATAGTCACTGGAAGGTGTAGGGATGGAGGTGTGTAGGAATGTTTGGGGGTGGGTATGTATCATAGGCAGTTTAAGAACAGAGGGGTAGTTAAGAGCAGGGCGGGGTCGTTGCTCTCAGGGCGCTGAATTGGCGCGCCTCGTGTAGGGTGGGCAGTGTCAGAACGGAGTGCTTTATGGTGGGCACATGTGAGACCGCCCACGGGGCCCCGTGACGGCTGGGTCCCATACTTCACAGTCAGGCGCGTGTGCCCCGCTAGTACGTCAAATGCAACAGACATCCTTCATTGAAATGTGGTGATCACCAGTGCTATGCCCGCCTTCCGATGGCCGGGCCCCCCTGCCCTACATGGGCCCGCTGGACTAACCTAGGGCACACTGTCCTGCCTGAACCACAGCAGTGGCCGACCACGCACCATTCACAAGGGTGGTGTGGGAATGAATTTAGTGATAGGTCTCGTGTACAAGCTGCTTTGGCTGAAAGGAGGGCAGGGGCTGTGGTGGGGGGGTGTGTGTTGTGTACGGTGCATTCTAGAGGGCTGCTGTCAGGGCTCTCTCCTTTTACTCTCTAGGCCAGTGATCAGTTGTCCAATTGTTGCGGACGTACTAAAATGTCTTGTGTATGGGCAACATTTCATTACAGGCCACTTGTTTTGGTCGCTGACCAGTGATGTCTTGGAACCTCTATACACCCCATAAACAGTAGAGCAGAGGTGTTTTATCCTGTCTGTGCTCTCAATACGCCCTGCTCTACTCCCTCTGAAAAGAAGGTGCAGAATAACTTGAGTATGGAATGTGGGTGTATTAGATAGCGTGTGCGGCTTAAACAGAGAGTCGCTCACAAGCAAACAGAATGCTATATTGAAAGGTGACCAGACTCGTAGAATAAGAGAAATGGAAGGCCAGTTTTGTTGAACTCACATCACTACAGCACGCATCAGTAAACACGTGTTGGGGGCGGGAAAAAAGAGATGGCGCAGATCGGCTTACACAAACACACAACAAGGAGCACACACCCACCAACACACACACACACACACACACACACACACACACACACACACACACACACACACACAGTGCCATGTTTATTCTTGCAGTAATTCCAACGGACCTAGGGTTCAGAGACAATGGGGCATAGTGGAATTCACTAAATCCCAAGTGAAATTGTGAACACACATAATAGACTCTCTAACATATACACACACACACACACACACACAAATAATGAAGCCTCATTAACATCAGTAAACAACCCCTCGCTAGGCGCGAACCCATACCTCTTAAACCAGCCCTCCTAGACAGTGCGGGGCTGTGCAGGGCTGTGGCTGTGGAATGGGAGGCAGCAGCCGTAATTACATGGCTACATGCGTGTGCACGGCCCGGCTGACACCGCGCATAAACCCATGCACAGATATGATCTAGTGAGGAGCAGCTCTTATTAAATATTAACAAACACCAATCCCAAGTAGCCTCAATCCCCAGAAGGAATCTTCCGCGGTAGCGGCAGCAGCAGTACTAGCTATCTCTGGCGCTACTGAAGCACTCTCCCTGCTGAATAGGCGGGTGCGCTTTGACTGGAGGGAGTTCAAAGAGCCAAGGAAGGAGGCAAGGAGGGGGGAGGAGGGCGGAGGGTGAATGAGCTTACTATACACGTTCAAACCCAAGCCTTCTATATACGGTACTTCTATAGGGCACGGGACAAGTCGGAGAGAATTAGTGGGAACTGGGAATGGAATTCATATCTAGGGGAGCATGTAGAGGTTCTTCAGTGTGTCAATGAAGAATCTTTAGCCGTACTGAATGATTGCTAGGGACAAGTGTATAGATAGATGTATAAGCAGGCAAGACAGATGTATTGCTTTTAATGGTATGCATGAAAACTGTGTTCTGTTTCTATTATGTATCACTGTAAGCAAACTGGGAAGCAATTATTAATGCCATATTGGAAAATCTGCAATTTACATAATGCATATATTAGGCCTATATAAGATACTATTTTCTGCTGAATTATGTCATAATTAAACATAATGGAAATTACACACGCATTTCCTCTAAGGTACTTATACGCTGCACACAAACTTGCACACATTCAAAGATAGACTACCTGGCAGATAGCAATGCATGTGTATGTGCACGAGCACACAAACACACATACACACACTTGATTACCCCTTTCCCTGTCCAGACGCAGTGAGGTGTGGTAGTAAGGTTTAAAGCTTGCATTGTTCCTGGCCAGTCAACCTGTCTGGCAGACTCCAGAGTCCTACTGATCACCCCATTACTCCCGGGAAAGAGAGAGAAAGGGGAGGAGAAAAGAAAGGAGGCGGAGAGCGAGAGCGAGGGATGGGGAAGAAGGGCTACAAAGGGCTGAGACACTCACATCTGTCTGGGAACAATGTCAGAGCTTCCCATTCAGAGAGAGGGGTTAAAAGAACTGTCACATCTCGCTGATGTGAACGCTGTTAAATGGTTCAGTGGTTTGACAGTAGTTGATGCCAGAGACTGCACTCCCCTGGGAGCGCTCTGGGAAGGAAGCGCAGGCACAGGCTGCCTCCCAGGCATGGCTCCCCTCCCTTACCCACCCCTCCATTGAAAATACTGCAAATAAATAGATAGGCGGAAATAAACAATAACATGCCACAGGGAGACAATAGGGATCTGAGAATGTATGCATAAAATAAATATATGCATGTTGTTTTTATATATGTCATCGTTGTCAAAGCAGCTCTTGAAGATCTCCATAGGTAAAGACAACCACCATAGAAGTGGAAAATGACATGAAGCCACTCTACCGATTAGGTCACAGTGTCCTTAGTGGATCTGTTGATGTTTGGGTGTATACTGTTGTTCTGTTATTGGTATGACCCCCAAAAACTAGCCCGATCCCCATCCCACAGTAGTGGGGGAGCAGGCACTCACATGACAAGGGGCAAAAAACTGCATCGCTTTAGTGTCGTTACACTTTGCGGGCGCTGCTTCCCTTTGGTGAGATGTTCTGCCTCCGGTGCTACATTTGATGGTTTGTTGAGCGGCACGTAGGTGTGTAGCCGGAGCCACCACCGCCGCGCTATGTGATCAAACAGACTAACTGACGCATGGCCAATTATCCCGGCTGCCTTCTTTCATCTCACGTTTAAGGGTAGGGAAAGAGAGAGGGAGAGAGGTGGAGAGAGGGAGCTAGGAAGGGAGGAAAAGAGAGTGAGAGACGGCTGTGTGTTTAGAAGAGTGGCAGATGTAAAAATCACACTTCCCATCCCCAGAAGGAAGCACGCCTGACATATGCACCATTTTGGGAAAGTAAACAATGGCGTTGTCTACTTTGTGGATGGTTATCCCATATATCCAATAAATAGGCCAATCAGAGAGCCAAACATAGAGTATAAGGGGAACTATCAGATGTGACATACCATGTACTGATTTTCTGTTCCCCAGTCTCTCTGTACATCACTCCTTTCCTCCCACACAAGAGAAATAACTTCCTTTCAAATTTCTGTAAACACTTCTCAGCTGTTTCATCCTGTTCATCTCTCTTACACAAATCTGATAACATAAGGAACCATCAACTGCTAGACTTATCCTTAGCTGTGAAGGACAGGCTACAAGGCCTGTGCTCACTACTAAGGTCATCTTTACCCTTGGTTTGCTTTAAATGGCTACGAGAGAAAGCCTTAAGTGCAGCATTCTTTAGTAAAAGAGTACAATTTCAACTTGTGTTGAAGTGAATGGAATTGAAAGGAATGTAGCGCAGCGATGCTCCTTCTCCAGTGCCTGGTGTGTGAGTGAGGAGAGTGTGGGACAGTTTAGAGAGAGTGACAGGTTGCTCCACTGACCTACAGCAGCCTTGGTCCTGGCCGAGCTTTTCCTCCCCTTGCTACTGCTCAGCGTAGTGTTGTCCTTTAGGGCATTCTCACACTCTCTCTCCATCATGGCGCCCAGCTCCTGGGACACAGTGTTCAGGTAGGCAGCGTTCAGGAAACCCAGAATGGTTTTGGGCTTGGCCACCCCGTTGAGGACCTGGAGCTCCTCCCTGAGGGCCGAGCACAGGGCCGGGGCGGCAGCACGGAGCCCCAGGGCCAGCCTGTCGAAGCCCGTCTCCTTCCCACCGGGGCTGGAGGCCAGGGCAGAGTGGAGCAGAGACAGGACAGCCTGGCTCCTCAGGCCCTGGTAGCACGTCAGCACCTCCCACTCTGGGTAGAGGAAGAACAGCTGCTGCAGACAGTGGATGCGCTGAGGGACGGGGAGGGGACAGGACAGTCTGTCCAGCAGGTGGCGCCGCAGCTGGAGCCTCACCTCGTCCCACACCTCCTGGCTCTC